TGCTTCAGAAGCATATTAAATGATATGGGAACACCTCATGGTGTACCGTGCTCTTGTCTCCAAAGATGGCTGGCTACCTTCAGTTCCTCCCTTCCCTGTGTGGGCCACTTGTCCATGAGACATGGAGTTCATTCCTCCATGCCACTGAATGTAGGCCAGGGCTGCGACTGCCTTGAGCAATAGAAGGTGGAGGGAGTGCTGCTCTAGACCTCTCAGCCCAGGTCTTAAAAGGCCTGATAGCTGCTGCTTTTTTGCTTCTGGCACCCTGAGCCACCATGTTGGATGTCCAGGTTACCCTGCTGAAAAGAAGGGCCACATGGAGAGGCCGTGGAGGATAAGAGAGTGCCGGAGAATGAGGGTCTATGGGGGAAGAGTGGGAAAACTCCACATAAGTGAATAAATCACGCTGGATGCTCTAGTTCTCAATTATTTGAGTCTTCCCACTTGAAGCCCAGACATGTGGAGCAGACTAGCCATGGCTGCTGTGTGCTGTCCTGGTTCCTGACCCACAGGATCACGGGAAAAACAAAACTTTTTTTTTAAGTCACCAGTTTGTTCTTGTTTTGATAGAACAATAGATAACTGAAACAGATTGTTAGGGCGGAGGAAACATCATACAACATGGCATCGGGTGTGTATTCCCAAGTGTATTTTGTATATGTATGTAGGTAGGTGTTTATGTATATATGTGCATATTTTGATATTTACATTTATACTCAAACATGCTAGTACTGGTTATTGCTGAGAAGTAGGATCCCAGGTAGATTTAAATTTCATCTTTCTGTTTCTCAGAATTTTTACTTTGTTTTTATTTTGTGATAAGAATTTCATAAAAATTTCTTAATACCGCAGTAGTTTTTATTTTTTTTTTTAATTTTTAGTTTTTTGCAGTTTTTGGCCAGGGCTGGGTTTGAACCTACCACGTCTGGCATATGGGGCTGGTACCTTAGTCCCTTGAGCCACAGGCGCCACCCCTGCATTAGTTTTTCTGACATGCACTTCACCCGGTCGGTTCACATTACACTTGCTGTTGGCTGTGTGTGTTTGTGTGTCATACGTATACACAGGGTGCCAAAAAATGTACACCCATTCTGAGAAAGGAAAAACCTATATAAAAATTGTAATACTCCATATATAATGGTAGCAAAAGATGAAAAGAAATTACATTGAGCACTGCTTGTAATTGCAGAAGTCAAATGGGACTTGAGTCTTACAAACTTATACAATTTTTTCCTTTCTTAAAATGGGTATACATTTTTGGCACCCTCTGTATACGTATAAAATATAAATATGCACGTCTCCAAGATTGTTTTAAGATGACTTCCCCATCCCCACAGAAGACAACCAGAGAAAGCACCGGTTTTATGCTATAGAAATGGAAAACACCAAGAATCTCTCCTGCCTGGTAACCCCACTGGAGAAAGTTCTCAGTTCTCAGGCTGTGCACTTCATTATTTTGCTACTGTAAAGCTCCTGTTTATGTGGTTAGGAAGAGTGGTTGCCATGGCAATGCAATCCAACTAATACCAGAATGTGTCTAAAAGTGGTGGAAGTGACTTTTTCAGGGTTTCCTCTGAAGATTAATCATCGTCTAAGAACTGTATCTTCTTTTCCTCTCCTGTTAGAATAATGGTAGCAGAGTGCTTTCCAGTCCTGGGATGTGGACAACGTGAGGGAGTTGTCAGAGAGGGACAAAGACCACGGTCGAAGAAATGGCCCAAACCGAAAAGGACCCCTTCCTGCCAAACACTCCAGCTTCTTTTCATCCCTCTGCCCACTCGGCTGCTCCGCCACCCTTGGCAGCCCTCCTCCCCTGGGCTCCCTCCATCCTCACCCTCCGAGCTGGCTGCCTTCATGGTTCTTTCCTTGTCTCCTTCTGGCTCCTCTTCTTCCCGGACCCCTGACTGAGGCCCACCCTCAGGCCCAATCCCATCCTTTCCTTTTCTCTCCTAACGCTCTTGCTCTGGAAAGAGATTTCATTCTTTTATTCTCTCCTTGCTGTCTCCACACACCCTTCCCAAGTGGGAGCTGTAGCCTGAACCCTCATTCCTACTCACATCCTATCGCATGCCCTCCTGGGGCCCACATGACAAGTCACTTGGGAAGTAGGATCCTCCATGATTGGGTGCTACTTCCCTTCCTGGTTCTTCCCCCACGTCCTCCCACACCAGCAGCAACATGCACCCTAGGCTCCCAGCCTATGAGGGGCTGTCCTTTCCTCCCTGCCCTTGCCCAAGCCACTTTCTCTGCCTGAAATGCCCTTCCCCCTCCTGAAAATGGCCCCTGCGTTAGGAAGC